ATTAAATTTAGTAGGAGATATGTGACTTCTATAACCCAGCACCTGTGTATAAACATATATAAATCATATATACATGAAACCATTGACAACTGGAAAGTAACCCCCTGCCCTTCACACAATGTCCCATGTGGAGGAGACTGGCAAAAATGGTGAATTTTTGGTAGAACCTGACATGAAGTTTGTTCCTAATTAGACACACCACAAAATTTATTGAGTGGATATTTGTATGCACCCTCCCATGCCTACTGTTCAAGTTACATGGATTCACAACCTTCAGTTGCACCATTTGCCAATTTAGGATCCTGGTATTCAAGGATTTTCAAGATCTGCCTCTGAACTACTGGCCCAGCCTTAACTTCCAATAATCTCCAACATTAACCCAAGTGTTTGCACCCAATGCATCTGCTCCTTGTTTCCTGAATATCCATGCATAACTCTACTTCCTCACTTTTGCTGATACCGTTTACCTGACTTGGCACCATATAAAAGCTCTGTTACACTAGTAAATTTCTCTTCCTTTTACCTCTTTTTCTTTTTATTACAATATAATGGATATGCAACACTGTAAGTTTAAGGCATACAACATGTAAATTTGATATCCTTATATATCGAATTATCATCTGTCACATCACATAGTTATCATTTCTTTTTTTGTGGTGAGAACATTTAAGATATAGTCACATGATCTCACTCATATGTGGAATCTAATGAACAAAATAAACTGATGAACAAAATAGATCCAGAGATATACAAACATAGAACAGACTGTCTTATCTGAGAGGGAAGGCATGGGAGGGTGGGAAGAGATATAGCAAAGAACTTGTATGCATATATGCTTAACCCATGGTCACTGAAAATAGGGTGGTGAAGGCCTGAGGTGGAGGGCTGGGGTGCTCTAGAAGAGGTCAAATGGGGGGAAAATGGGAACATCTGTAATACTTTCAACAATAAAGATATTTTAAAAGATATAGTCACTTAGCAATTTTCAAGTGTATGATATAGTATTGTTAATTATAATCACAGTGCTGTGCATTTAATTCCCAGAACCTATTTATCTTCTTAACTGCAACTTTGTACCCTTTGACCAATATATTCCAAATTTCCCCATGCTCCAGCCCCTAGTGACCAGCATTCTACTCTGTTTGTACACGTTTGGCTTTTTAATATTCCAATCTAAGCAATATCATACAGTATTTGTCTTTCTCTGTCTGACGTACTTCAATTAGCATAATATCATATTGTTGCAAATGATAGTATTTATTCCCTTCTTTATCATGGATAAATATGTGTGTGTGTGTGTGTGTGTGTGTGTGTGTGTGTGTGTGTGTACAAGAGAAAGAAAGAGAGAGCGAGAGAGCTCCATAAGTTGAGAATAGGAAAACAACGAATTTTGGTAGGGATTGCATTGAACCCATAGATGGCTTTGGGTAATATGGGCATTTTAGCAATATTAATTCTTCCCCTTCATGTCTGTTGAAATAGTGGTGGCTCAAGGCAATTCCCTAACCTGATAATCTTTTTACTTTTTACCAAATTTTACCTTTGATATGCCTGTATGCAATGCTAAAGAGCAAATGTGTATTCAAGTAAATAATAGTGAACCATGCCAGAAGTCGGTGTGCCTCTTCAAGAAAAAGGTCTCTACCTGACCCCCAGTGCCTTCTAAATTCATATTTCTGGTATAGTATTTTTATTTGTGTGTTGGCTCTTCTTTCAGATCCTGAACCCCATTGCTAAGGTTGTGGCAAGAGAGGAAGGAAGAGGGATAGAGAGAGAATCATTCATCACTTACCACCCCTATGCGCCCAGACTGGGGATCAGTCCTGCAACCTAGGTGTGTGTCCTGACCCGGAACTGAACCAGCAACACTTTGTTGTATTGGATGATGCTCCAAACAACTGAGCCACCTGGACACGGCCAAGTGTAATATTTTAAAGGTATGGTTTACCTTTGCATCACGAGTTTGGTGGTTTCTTGTTTTATGTTTAAGAATTCTAACCTTTAGGCTAGATTACTTCTGTTTTCCCTTCCTTGAATAATTAAAGTCCATGGGTGATAAGCACAAGTCTGGTGCTTATCACACCTAGAGTCAATGACTCACTTTGTCTTTCTCACCAAGTAACAATTACTAGAATTCTCTTCTCATTTTTGAAGCCACTAATTCAATATTTGGTGTCTATCTGGTATAGTTTTTCTGAATTAATTTCCTGCATTTATTCTCTAGCCTGCCTAGATAGCTATGAATTAATTTCTAGATGTTTAGAAGTAATGTGTAGTTTGTCCATTGTCCAAAACAGCACTTGAAGTCTACAGATTCACAAGTTCCTTATAGGGATCTTTTTGCCTCTGAGGTTTTTAATTCTCAGCTTTATGTTACAATCTACCACACAACAAGTGTCACTTCCACACCAGGAACACTGGATACTCAAGAATGTGGTTCCAGAATCGAGATAGAAAAACACCTGGCTTCATGAAGGTGCTATTGTAATTGTTTGGGCAACTACAAACCCAATTTTCCTCTGCTGAGATTACAAAGGCTAGAAGGACAAGTTGCCCCAAACAGCTCAGAGTGTGGACACAGGTCTTCACCACAGACCACTGGCTGCTTAGCTCAGGCTCAGGGTCTGGGTATGGGCTTTGAGCAGCATGAGCACGTGACAGGGATGGTGCAGCAAAGGCCATGCTATGCTGCTGAAGAAGGAAGCAGCTGGCAGGTGCAGTCGCTTCAGCGGGTGCCTAACCAATCAGATCATCCTTCATCCACTGGCGTCAGACTTCCTTGCGAGACCACAGATTCTTCCAGAAATATCAAATGGACACTTTCTAGAAGAGTGCAATTTTACAAAACCAGATTACACCAGAGTCCATGGCATTTTATGTTAACACCATCAGTGATCCATTTGTCTCCACAGTCTGGTCAGAGAAAAAGAAGCACAAAGATAATAAATTGAAGAAAAAAAAAGTAAGCAAGGCATCTAGGCCTTTCTATTCAATAGGCTTAATTTTTTAAAATTGTTTTAAGCAGTGTGAGCGGTAACAGAAAGAGCTTAGCTATGTACAGAGAAAACAACTCAATGCAGTGATATTAATGGGATAAGAACAACTCCAAAGATATAAAAAGGTCAACTCTTTTGAACTGGAAGATCAACAGTAAAGGTGCCACACCTCGACGTAGGGAGGGCAATGGGGTGTGTGCAGTGGTTTCTTGAGTTGAAGAATTTGACAGGCAGCTATGAAATGGTCTGTATTGGAGGGTGATCCTTGAAGGTCTGGGGTTCCAGCAATTTTGTGGGTAGAATCTCAGAGTAAGGACTTTATTATTTTTTTTATTGACACTCATACTTTGGTTGCTGCATCTACCCACAGCTCCTGTGGAAGCTGGGGAGACAGGGATTCTGAAGTTGTCATGATTAAAGCACTTAGTTAGCAAAATAGATATATCGCCCAGGACATGAAGGAACAGTGAAGGATTTGTCTTTCCTGCGGTTCAAATTGTAGGTTAAAAAAATGAGGCTATCATTTAAAGGAGATGGGGAAATAAGTTAAAGACAAGACACCTCACAGAGATAAAGAGGAATCAAGGGCATGGTTAAGAAACAGGCATTTCATTTCTGGGAATAATCAAATAACCTAACGAGCACAAATCCACATTCAAATAACATTTCCCTCCATCCCAGGTCTGATAACAAACCAGCAAGCAAAGCATAAGCAAATTCTGCAGATAGGAACATGCAAAATCAAAATTCAGCTAGGGGAAATTTGCATCTGTAGAGAGGTATTTTCTTGCATCAGACAATAGGCCAGGAATGTATTTTCTACTTAGAAATTATTGCAGAGATTCTGGGTCTGTGTGCAGAAGATACTTTGGAGTGGAAGAATGATACCCAACGAACTCACTGTTTTCTTCATGACCATCTATCTGCTCGAGTCCTTGACAATAATTGTGCAGAGCAGCTTAATTGTTGCAGTGCTGAGCAGAGAGTGGGTGCAGGTCAAAAGGCTGTCACCCGTGGACATGATTCTCATCAGCCTGGGCATCTGCCGCTTCTTTCTACAGTGGTCATCAGCGCTGCACAACTTTTGCTCCTATTTCAACCCTGACGATGACCTTTGGTACATAGCAATCATCTGGGAATTTACTAATACTCTTGTGTTCTGGTTAACCAGCTTGCTAGCTGTCGTCTACTGTGTCAAAGTCTCTTCCTTCACCTACGCCATCTTCCTCTGGCTGAGGTGGAGAATTTTGAGGCTGATTCCCCAGCTGTTGCTGTGCTCTCTGATGATTTCCTGTGTGACAATCATTGTTTCAGCTATTAAACATTACATCAAGAGTCAGTTAATCTTGCAATTACCTGGAAACATCTCGAAGACTGAGACACTTAGGACATTCCTGGAAAAATATTACATAGGTCAGCATCTGGCAATGTTGTTCATTCCTTTCCTCCTCTTCCTGACCTCCACCACCTTGCTCATAGCCTCATTGTGCCAACACTTGAGGCAGATACGACATCACGACACTGGCCACAGCAACTCCAGCATGAAAGCTCATGCCACTGCCCTCAGGTTTCTTGCCTTCTTCCTCATCTTTTTCACCTCTTACTTTTTGACCATAATCGTCTCCACTAAATACATCCTAAGGCATAAGACTTCCTGGTTCTGGGCCGGTGAAACTATCATCTATGCTACAGTCTCTATTCATTTAACTTCACTAATGCTGAGTAGCCCTACGTTGAAAAAGGTTTTAAAGGTAAACTGCTGTGGGCCAAAGCTGCCTGAGTCTCCAGGTACAGCAAGACCCTAAGCAAATGGGAACTTGCATTGATGCAACTAATACCAACTGCCAGCTCTACTCTTCACAATCCTATGTGATAGGCACAGAGTGCGCGTGCCCTCTCCCTCCTCCACCACTGCTGCCTCCTTCTTCTGCTGCTCCTGGTGCTGCTTGTGTGCTCTTTTGGTGCGGACCTGGTACCTCTTTTGTGAAAACTCTGGCTCTCGCCATGGCCGACGAAAAGCCCAATGAAGGAGTCAAAACTGAGAACAACGATCATATTAATTTGAAGGTGGCCAGGCAGAATGGTTCTGTGGTGCAGTTTAAGATTAAGAGGCATCCACCACTTAGTAATCTAATGAATGCCTATTGTGAACGACAGGGTTTGTCAATGAGGCAGATCAGATTCTGATTTGAGGGGCAGCCTATCAATGAAACAGACACACCTGCACATTTGAAAATGGAGGATGAAGATACAATTGATGTGTTCCAGCAGCAGACAGGAGGGGTCTACTAAAAAGGGATCCTGCTACTTTACTCCAGAACTCTGTGCCTCCAGACCAAGAAGACATTCTCAATTAGAAAACTGCAATTTGGTTTCAACACATCTGACTACTACAGTATAGTTTTCTCTGTTCTTTCATTTTCCCCTTCCCCATTCCTTTATTGTACATAAAGTAACTGATGTATGTGCAGAAGCATTTGAATTTTTTTTTTTAACTAAATGGCCAATGGTATGTTTTGATCTACATCAAATGAGATGGGATGGGGGAAAAAAAAATACTGGTTCTGTGAAAACACCCCCTTTCTCCATTAGTCGCATGCTCATCCAGCTCTTATCTTTATATTCCAGTAAGTTATTTTGCTCTGACTGTTTAACAAAAAAAGAACAACATTAAAATTCTTGCATACCTTGTTTGATTGGAGAATTTTAATGTTTTACATTTATCATTGAAAAACCAAGGACGGCCAAAACTGGTTTGGCTCAGTGGATAGAGCGTCGGCCTGCGGACTGAGGGGTCCCGGGTTCGATTCCAGTCAAGGGCATGTACCTGGGTTGCAGGCACATCCCCAGTGGGGGATGTGCAGGAAGCAGCTGATCGGTGTTTCTCTCTCATCGATGTTTCTAGCTCTCTATCTTTCTCCCTTCCTCTCTGTAAAAAAATCAATAAAATATATTTAAAAAGAAAAAAAGAAAAACCAAGGACAATTTTATAAATTTTGTGCGTAGCTGTTACATGTAGGGCAATCTGTCTTTAAGTAGGGATGAATTACTCTAAAAAAATGAATCCTAGATAGTTTTCCCTTCAAGTCAAGTGTCTTGTTGTTTAAATAAACTTCTTGTTTAAAATAAAAAAAAAGAAAGAAAAAACAATCCTATGTGATAGTAATGTTCCCTAAATACAAGGAAGACCAAGCAAGCCTCGCTCTCTTCCATTCCCACAGCCATTCATCTCTAAACAGCCAGTCTTTCTCTATTCTATGCCTCTCCTATCTCTTCCTCTCTACAGTCCCCAGGTTGGTCGCACCTTTCTCATGACTTCCCCATCTCTCCTCAGTCTTTTCAATCTCTGGAGTTTTACTCCCAGTGTATTCTACACAAAAGAGCCAAAATCATGATGTCCATTCATTATATTTATTTTATCCTTTTCATGACTGCCAATTGCTTCACACATTAATAGAAATAGCTTCCCCACAATAATGTATTGCCTACACCCTGAAGGTTCTCCATGCTAAGGTCCCAATTAATCAATTTTTCTAAATTTAGTCAGGAAATTGTCTGACCATCTTTCTTTCTCTCTGTTCTTTCTGGACCTTTACCCAATGGCATAACTTTTCTTATTTGTTTCTCTTCCACACAATGTGACATTTTTCCTTTAAAACTCAAGTCAAAACTTAACTCTTCTTTCATTTTCATTTGTCAAGACATTATATTCTCCCCAGAACAGCAAACTACATACCCAATCTAGATTCTTCCTAGAACATCTCCAAATATTGGCAACTTAACTGCCTCAATTGCATATGGTTTCTATTGGCAGGATTCTTGCCTCTCAATTGTACTACAGTTTGGAATAAATTATCTGGAAAGATTCCCAGATTGAGACTTAGACTCTTCTAACTTCATAAAATCTGAGTGACATTGGCTTAAACTCTCTATACTCTTCTATTTCTTCCTCTGCAACAGTTCAAAATTCTCCCAAATTGACAAGAATATAGGAGCCATATAGTAATCTATTATAAACCACCTATGGGACTTTTCTGTTCTTTATAAGTCCTTTTCTGCTTCCCCAATCTCCTTTTCCCTTCAGCTTATCTCAAATCCTGTTTCTTGTAGGACTCCATCTCACCATCTCCACATGGCATCTCTCTCATCATTTCTGTTCTCTTCACCCTCACCTACTAGCAAAAAGGATCTTGGTCACAGCCAAATCCCAGGCTTTTGGGTCTCAGCTTCCATCTGCTTCAGGAATTTATTAGGGTGTTTTCCTAAAGACAGCTTCATCTCTTAAGGCTTCCTGGTGCCAGAAGTTAAGAATATAATTTTTATTCTCCTTTCATATATGTATTGGGCATATCTGGAAACTGAACTTCTGCATCTGCCATTAGAAGACTGAAACACATCCGGAGAGATAACCATCCTATGGGGAAAGGAATGGAGGTATATCAAGCTTGACTATGAACGGAACGCGTAGGCGCTGGAGTGGAAATTTCTGATCTGGTCTTGGGTCTATCTCTCTGATTTACCTCCCTGTCAAATCATCCCTTGAGTTAATACTTGAAACTGAGTGTTCGAAATATAAGTACAAACGGAAATACACTGTAACCAAAGACACTATGCCAATTGGCACATCTCAGCAGCATCTTTACCATTGCACAGAAAGGGGAGTAAAGCCTATTTTCCCACTTTGCAGCAGCTCGCCATGCAGCCTTGGCATCTCCCAAGCACCAGTGGTTGAACTATAGTGAAAGATGGGATGGAACCTGGTGGATGCAGTGATGTCTGTGGAGCAGAATCATAACTAGATGATGTGGGACTGAGGAGAAATAAAAAGTAGATATCAGCATTGAGTTATCTGCCCAGGGACTTCTGGGAATGCTTAGTAGGCTGGTGAGGAGGTGGGTTGCAAGAGTTTAGTGTCCTGACAGAGTAAGTGGGACAGAGGCCAATGAAATTTGAATTACTGCTATTGATCATTCGCATCCACATTGTACATGTTCTAAAATCTCATATCTGATAAGGGCCTAATCTCCAAAATTTATAGGGAACTCATACAACTTAACAAAAGGAAGATAAACAATCCAATCAAAAAATGGGCAAAGGATCAAAATAGACACCTTTCAAAAGAGGACATTCAGAAAGCCAAGAGACATATGAAAACATGCTCAAAGTCACTAATCATCCGAGAAATGCAAATCAAAACAACAATGAGGTACCATCTCACACCTGTCAAACTGGCTATCATCAACAAATCAACAAATGACAATTGCTGGAGAGGATGTGAAGAAAAAGGAACACTTGTGCACTGCTGGTGGGAATGCAGACTGGTGCAGCCACTATGGAAGACAGTATGGAGTTTCCTGAAAAAAACTAAAAATGGAACTCCCATTTGACCCTGTGATCCCACTTCTAGGATTATATCCCAAGAAACCAGAAACACCAATAAGAAAGGATATATGCACCCATATGTTCATAGCAGCACAATTCACCATAGCTAAGATCTGGAAACAGCCTAAGTGCCCATCTGTAGATGAATGGATTAGAAAACCGTGGTACATCTACACGATGGAATACTATGCTGCTGTAAAAAAGAAGGAACTCTTACCATTTGCAACAGCATGGATGGAACTGGAGAGCATTATGCTAAGTGAAATAAGCCAGTCAATGAAGGAAAAATACCACATGATCTCTCTCATTCATGGATAATAAAGACCATTATAAACTTATGAGCAATAATAGATACAGAGGCAGCCCTGACCGGTTTGGCTCAGTGGATAGAGCTTCGGCCTGCGGACTCAAGGGTCACAGGTTCGATTCTGGTCAAGGGCATGTACCTTGGTTGCGGGCACATCCCCACTGGGGAGTGTGCAGGAGTCAGCTGATCAATGTTTCTCTCTCATCGATGTTTCTAACTCTCTGTCCCTCTCCCTTCCTCCCTGTAAAAAATCAATAGAATATATTTTTTTAAAAAATAGATACAGAGGCAGAGCTGCCTCAAACAGACTATCAAACTGCAGCGGGAAGGCCAGGGAGGGTTTGGGGGCAGGAGGGAGGGGGGGTAAGAGATCAACCAAAGGACTTGTATCCATGCATATAAGCATAACCAATGGACATAAGACACTGGTGGGTAGGGGAGGCCAGGGGATTGTCAAAGGCAGGGGAAAAAAGGAGACATATGTAATACCCTTTGTAATACTTTAAGCAATAAAACAATAAAAAATAAAATAAAATAAAATAAAATCTCAGAGAGCTGGAAGAAACTGTTTCCTTTATATAAGTAGAGAATGGGGGAAGTATGAATCTCCCATCCTCCACTACTATAAACACAGAGACATTCTTCCAGAATCTGTTAAATATTTGTAGTACTCTCACTGTATTCTTTTTCATAAAGTGAAATGGAAAACTTATCCTGGATGAGTATTATAGGAAGTTGGGGGGAATCCAGAAATTAAAAATAATAATAATAACAGAAATAATATCTACCTCTCATCTTTGGGACACCTAATAATTCACAGAGAGCTTTTACATATATTTTCAACTTAAATGGCAGGTCAAGATTATTCAATCCAACTCAGCTGGAAAACAGACCTAAGAAGGTCAAATGAATTACTTAAATTCACCAGACTGGTTAATATCATTCCTAAGAACCAAAGAAAAAGGTGAGGAAAGCAGGGGATGCATTTTAAAGAAGCAAAGAGTTTAAATTTGGGGAAAGATGGTTAGGATTTAAAGGTAGGTGCATTTAGAAAGATGAACAACACCTCCAATGCTTGGACTAAGAACAAGGACATTCTTTTGAGTTTGAGTAGCTTGATATGAATTTCAGGCACTAAGAGGCTATGCACCTGTGTTTTCTAATTGGTAAACATCCTTCCCTGTAACACTTATTAGCACTCATGCAAAAAATGTGCTGCATGATAACTCAGAACATACAGGGAGCAGAAGATAAAGACGGTGTGTCCCTGGTTTTAGGAGCAAATATCAGGGCACTTGTGAGTGGCCAAGTTAAATTTAGCAGGAGTTATGTGACCTCCATAGCCCAGCATATGTATGCAAGCATATATAAATCATATATACATCAAATATTGCCAACTGGAAAGTAACCCCCTAGCCTTCACACAATGTCCCATGTGGAGGAGACTGGTAAAAATGGTGAATTCTTGGAGGAACCAAGATGGCGGCATAGGTAAACACCTGTACTTGCTGCCTCTCACAACCACATCAATTTACAACTAAAAGAGAGAACAACTATCATCCAGAACTGTGGGAAAGCTGGCTGAGTGGAAGTTCTACAACTAAAGAGGTAAAGAAGAAAGCACATTGAGACTGATAGGAGGTGCGGAGGCGCGGAACAGGATGACACCCGGGTGCACTGCTTTTTTCATCAGAAGGGAGAAACAAGCTCCCGCTTGCTCTGAACTCCAGTTCTGGGAGAGACTCTGGGAGAC